TAAACAAAACATTGTAGAACATGCCGTTGAAGTGACCACTGATCACATTTAGTTCGCTGTCATCAAATGAGCAGCTTGGTGAGAAACAAGTTTCGATGTCGATCTTCACTTGACGAGAAAGTTTAAAAGAAAGATAGCCAAGCAAGTTGCTGCATTTCGTGTAAGTCAACGTAATGGGTAACTGATAGCTGCACGATAAAGATACGCCCACGGACATCTCGATAGAGGCTCATCTACTAGTTGATAATAAGGCCAACGTCATTTAATAAAGGATAAAGCTTTCGGCTTTGATCAATCCCTAAGAGACGCGTCACCTTTCGGACCTCATTAAGCACCATGAGAGTTGATTGTGTGAATATTTAGCCTTTGTATTGAATGACTTGCTGTGGCATATCGATATGTCAATTCAGTCTTCTTATCCTCCCAGACGAGCCTGGTACCAGTTGGCCTACTCCGGAGCGATGGAAGCTTTTATCAGCTCAGGGCGAGAGATCGAACCACTTATTGATTCAGTGTCTATTTCAGTGCACCTTCAAATACTGCTATTAGTTTCCAATGTTCTTGCTTTTGGATGTGTGAAGGACGAGCACGTGGAACGTGAAACCGAGCAAACTCTCTATGACTCATTGTAAAAGTATTGTTTCTATCTGCCAGGAACAAAGTTACTCTCGCCAGCTATCACTTGGTCGTCCCTCACCCTTTGTCCCATGTCAGAGCGGCCAGTGTTGTTCGCACTGCTGATGTTTGTCAAACGAATTCTCCCACTAATGTGCTAAAATGCTTATCCTAGAGCTGCTAGTTTTTCTGCGTTCTCCAAACGCAATGGATTAGTGATATTCCCTATGACGGTGAATGTTTCAGAGAGTTGCCTGAAAATCTTTATTAAACTTCCAGTATAAAAAAGAAGCCGTTATTCTGGATCTTTTGCTTTTCTTTTCCCAACAACACCAATCGGAAGATGACAGACATAACATCTACAACATTTAGTAGAGTTATTGAAAGTAAGAGAAGATAAAAACCCCTTTTTTATCGTGTCTCATAAAGTTGTTTTGAGTGCGTCCCCAACACACACAGACTATTCAACCGGTTTTCACCCGAACTAATAAACACGAGGTCATTCACCAAGGTTGAATGGGAATCAACAGCCCTCTCTTTTACAAACGAATCGAAACCTGCTTTGTTCGATTGTCGTTGTTGTTGTTGTTGTTGCTGTCGCTTCTGTTGCTGTTGTTGTTGGTGATTGATAGAGAAAAAGCTGCTTCCAGTACTTTTTTCTGGGTTCATACAAAATGTATTGAGAAATTCAATTCCTCAATTGTCGATTTGGTTAAGATCTAACATAACAATGAATGAAAGGTAAGGTTGGGAGAGTTAAAACTAAATGAAAATTCAAGTTACGTTCTACTATTTGAACAAAGAGTCTCACGAAACCCCGAAACCTTCACGTTCCCATACCAGCACCACAGTCACCCGTCTATCCTCGTGAATCCGATTGAGCTCTGCGATTATGTCACTTCCATGACGGCTACATTTTCTGTTGTTCGTTCACTTTTAAGTAGATTTCGGTTGGAAATATTAGACTTCCTAACTTGATAACTCTGTAGTACGGACTTCTTGTTAGACGTCGTAGTTTTACATCCAGAAGTAAACCCTCATCAAGGGCAGTCCAAAACAAGCTTTTAGTGCTCAAGTTAATGTTTTCAATGGTCATATAAGGAGAGAATACCACCAACTATGATAGATGGAAAGCGTCGATTTTTATGGTTCGAATAGTTCATTTAGATATTCCTTGGTTTGCTTGGTTCATTTGAATTTTGACATATCCAAGTTTCACATTTGAAAATGCGTACCGTATTCATTCGTTATTGATTAGTGTTGGGAGAATCAAGGAAGAAGGACGTCCAAAACATTTCCCCAACCCTGTTGGGAACAAACAGTGATATTCGTCCAATTCAAAAAGATCTTTTCTTGCCCTGGAATTAACTCCTTAGTGACATATGTGATATTGTCGGGGTGTCATGATACTTTCATACAGTACTTGTTGACATTTAGGGTGCAACTTTAATGAGAGAGCGAAAAGAGGATTATAGAATTTGACGAAAAAACCTGTGGAAATATCATGCAGGAGAGGAACGGGTAAGAAAAAACTATGTACGATTAATAACTTGAAAGACCTAGAAAACTACGGCATTAATAATCGACAACAACAACAACTTAAAGTGGTACAGTTGGCAACACGTGAGCCATCGGAAGCGGAAATCACGGGTTTGATCTCGTCTGATGTCCAAGTTTTGCAAACATCTCAGCCGTAATAGTGGCTGTATTTACCAATAACAACTGATATTAATCTCACAACAGCTAAACAAAGGCAATTAATAAGGATATAAAGATTAGTAAGCAATGGAAAATGGTATTAGCATCAACAGAGGACGAAGTTAAAGAGACTATTCTCTCTATCTGCAAACATTTGCATATTCCCTCTGTTAATTATATAACATTCTAGATGGTAATGTTGTCATTAATGCATTCTATTATTACAAAAAGTTAAGTTTGATAGCGCCCCTCGGGTCAAGCAAACCTCGTACCCCTTTAGGGTCAACAAACTGACACTCTGGGAGGATAAAAATATGCCTCGCTTCATCAATAGGCCAGCATAAGTCATTGCATTGGCCAACTATGCATTCGGTCACTTTTACAGTGCTACGAATGGAGTAGAATGCGTGCTACAGGTTGATCAACGCCGAACGCCTTAACGCTTATATGCTGCACTGATTGCGTAAAGCCATGAACGACACCGAATTTACGGAATCCTCTCGATACTCCCATGTAATTCGGAACCTCATAGTACAATATCTTTTCAGGCAATTCCTAACTCTTTGCTATATCGATTCGGAATATCTTAAGAACGAGATTCCATTGCAACTCGTTTACGATTATCAATAATTTTTTAGACAATTGAGGCAACACGACGTTGGTGTAAACTGATGAAGGCGCCGAAACGTTAGCCGAATAAAAGTTTATATCAACCTCGCGTTAGTCCAGTCATCATCTGTATCACCTGTAGTCCCGTTGATCTCCGAGTGACTCGAGCGGGCGCCAGTAAATTTTCCATTTTTCCCTGTCATGTGCAAGAGTAGACCAGTGGGTTCCGCTGGCTCTACGGACTCGCCGAGCATCATATCTTTCTTCTAGGCTCTTCGTGAAGAACTCTGACTATCGGGTCGGTGGTCTTCCTGCAGTATGTTTGACATCCCAAGGAATCCAGTCACTAACAGCTCTTGTCCATCGGTTGTCATTCATACGCATTATGTGTCCGGCCCACCTTATCTTCGACATTTCGGCGTGCAGAACGGCGTCCTTGATTTTTCATCGTTGACGCAGATCGGAGCTTCGGATCCCATCCCTTACTTGTGTGGAACGGGATACTCCTAGCACCGATCTTTCGACTGCGCGCTCGATAACGCTGAGTGATCTTTGATCCTCCTTAGTCTAGTCATGTAGAAAATTATCGATTCAGAAGATTTTAAAAGGTCTAGTTCATTGCTTAAAATTAGATCAGCAAGACCAAAGCGTTTTAATCTATGAAGTTTGGTGGTCCTTAGGAGCTCCTAAGGCTTTATTCTAAACTACACGAACACTATCTATCTATCACCTAACGTTCTCACAAGTACAACTGTCAAAACAATTTTCAAACCGATCGTCAATTAACCTCAACATGTGCATAAATCGTTGAGATTACACGAGGTTGACAAATTAGTTTTATTCGGCTAATGTTTCGACGCCTTCGACTTCATAGGAACCGATGATTCGAGTCGATGGTCCTCAGTTGTTCGTCTTATCGATGTGGCGTCTTCGTCTTGGTAGCAAGTCGGATCTTTTTCGGTGGAACACCGCACTAATGAGGCACGCTTGCCCGGCAGTGCTCTTTTATACAGGGCGCTTCTTGATATGACTACCTGACAACAAAGGTACGACGATGAAGACTCCAGATCAAAAAGACGAGCAACTGTGGACCATCGATTCGGACAATCGGCTCTGATGAAGCCGAAGACGTCGGAACGTTCAAGATAAAAAAAGGATAAACCTTTCAGCGTTGATCAATCCTTGAGGGATGCGCCATGCATTTCACTTAACTAAGCATCGATAAAGGCGATTGAATGCACATCTGGCCTTTACAATGACTCCCGTTGGCCTACCGATGTATCGAGCTAGTGCTGCTATTCTCCCAGACAAGTCTAGTACCAATTTACCGACTCCGGAGGAATGGAAGGCGTGGTGGGCCATGGGCACGGGCATCGATTCTACTTCTGTGTCGCAGTGGCGCCTCCAACCACTGCGCCAAACGCACCCTTTTTGTCAAAACGTTAGCTGAATAGAACTAATTTATCAACCTCGTATAAGCTCAACGGTCTCTACACGTGTTGATTACAAATGTCAAAGTTCGATCTTGTTCAAGGCAATTCTTACCAACTGTTCCAAAATTCAAGAAAAAGAACAACTAGAAATCACAAAACATAGAAAACCGTACCAAGGAATGTTTATTTACATATTTCAATAGCTATAATTCAGGACTTAGCGAAGCATAAAACAGGCCGGAATACGGATGATTCACCTTGTAATACTTCAGAAAAATTGTGATGATGGAGACGAAGAATGTAAACTGTAGGAAGCTGTGAATTCCGAGGAAATCTATCCACAGGAGTCATCATAGCTTCACATAGACGTCAAAGATGAATAATTGGTGAGGATACGGTATCAGCCAAATGACCAATTTTGAACTTCTTTGGTCTAATATTTGGGCAATACCAATACAGGTGAAATAGTCCTTAAGCGAATTGTGCAATATGGCGTACGCCGTGTGCTGTGACCGTCTCGTTCCAGAAACATAGTGCTACGAGTGACCAAAGTAGTACAAGTATAAGTAATCGAAACTAGAAAAAAGTAAAAGCATAGATAGTTCTTTCATGTAATTCGATCGACAAGTATTAATTAGTAGTTGATTAGCGAATGAGTGCAAGGACAATGGGCGCCATCATGGCAGCTACCGTAATGCACTGAGGACGTGACGACTTCATATTGAGCAATTTCAGCACGTTATCCAGACCACCCTTCTGGAAGATGTTGTTCAACATCTCCTGCCATTTGGAACTGTTTTCCTCAAACTTTGCCGCTCCATCCTTCGTCACCTGAAAAAAACCACTCTTAGCTTTCGCTATAGAACCTGTTCAGGCAGAGAAAATTGTAGAAAGGAGAAATTGAAAATACAAAAGTGTCATGTTGAAAAAGCTGGAAAAATTATAGAATTAACTTAAACGACATGCTATCTTCTGGTTGCGAGTGTAGCACGGTGGTTAAACGTGCCCTGTGATAGACACTGGATCTTAACCTTTTTATTTACTGCCTATTCTTTTTAATAGCAGGGTATGTTGCGAAATATAACTTCTATAATGCTGAAATATTTGCAAAACTCCGGACCACAGGTGTCTGCGGTGAGGAACGAACGCTCTATTGTCCTTTCCGCGGAGAAACGCGTTCACCACCACACCACGCGGGCCCTTCGTTTCGCCTGTCTCTCAGTTCTATCGATCACTGCCATCAGCAATCACCCGTCAACGGGATTGATCTGGGAAGCCCAAATCGGCATTGAACCCAGTTAAGCTGAGGCTATAAATATCAGCATTATAGAAGACACTGGATCGATCGCTAATTCGACCAAAAACCCCGTGTTCACCAAGTCCTCCATCCCTTCGGGATTGACAAATTAGGACCAGACTTGTATGCGAGAATAAAATCACTGATTTAACAGATTAGTAGGCATATTAGCTAAGTCAAATGCATGTTTTCAGGGCTTTGGTCTGCGCAAGACGCTGCTTTATTTTTTGTCCATTATAGTGTGTTAGTGTTTTTTATGACCTTTGCATGGATGATTTATCAGAACGACTTACAATAAACTCTAAAATTTATAGAAACAATAAATTTGAACAATAAGCAGGTTGTGGAAAATACAGCCACAGCCCGGACCGCAGTGTCTGCGATGGGGAACGAACACGCTATTACCTCTTCCGAGGGCTAAGGCACTCACACCCAGGTCAATCCCTTTGACGGGTGATTGTTGATGCACTGATCGTTAGAAAACTAGCTAACAGATAGGCGAAACGAACGATCCGCATGGTGTAGTGGTGAACGCGCTAGCCCCGAAAGGGATAGTAGCGCGTTTGTTCCCAGAGCATAGTCTTGCAGCCCGGAGTTTTCCAAATATCTCAGCATCAATATGTATTCTTTCTTGATAAGCTTACACGAGGTTGATAAATATATTTATTTTCGGCTAACGTTTCGACGTCTTCGTCTTCCTCAGAGCCGGTGATCCGAGTCGATGGTCCATGCTTGTTGTTCGCCTCGACGTTGCGTCTTCGCCTTCCTGTCGAGCCAGATCTTCCTCAGCGAGCCATCTTCTCGAATGAGGCATCCTCACTCAGTGATGCCCTTTTATACACGATGCTGATGGTGGATATATAATGACAATGTCCGGTGGTAATAACTTTTATTTCTTCCGGACATACATCACTGCGCACATCGTGCAGAGGTCGGTGTATTATCAGCTAGCACAAAGCGTAGTAATATTTCGATGTGCGCAGTGATGTATGTCCGGAAGAAATACAAGTTATTACCACCGGACATTGTCATTATATATCCACCATCAGCATCGTGTATAAAAGGGCATCACTGAGTGAGGATGCCTCATTCGAGAAGATGGCTCGCTGAGGAAGATCTGGCTCGACAGGAAGGCGAAGACGCAACGTCGAGGCGAACAACAAGCATGGACCATCGACTCGGATCACCGGCTCTGAGGAAGACGAAGACGTCGAAACGTTAGCCGAAAATAAATATATTTATCAACCTCGTGTAAGCTTATCAAGAAAGAATACATATTGATTAATCACACCGAGGTTTAGGGAAGGTCGGTTTCGAAATATTACTACGCTTTGTGCTAGCTGATAATACACCGACCTCTGCACGATGTGCGCAGTGATGTATGTCCGGAAGAAATACAAGTTATTACCACCGGACATTGTCATTATATATCCACCATCAGCATCGTGTATAAAAGGGCATCACTGAGTGAGGATGCCTCATTCGAGAAGATGGCTCGCTGAGGAAGATCTGGCTCGACAGGAAGGCGAAGACGCAACGTCGAGGCGAACAACAAGCATGGACCATCGACTCGGATCACCGGCTCTGAGGAAGACGAAGACGTCGAAACGTTAGCCGAAAATAAATATATTTATCAACCTCGTGTAAGCTTATCAAGAAAGAATACATATTGATTAATCACACCGAGGTTTAGGGAAGGTCGGTTTCGAAATATCTCAGCATCGTTGTGGTTCTATTTGACATAATACCCTCCCGTGAAAAATTTTAGTAAGCAGCCAATAAAAAGTAAATATTAATAAACAAATTGTTCCTGAGAAGTCTGTTTTTAGCTATTTCATTAGTAATCATTTCAAAAATTGCTTTCCTCCTCACTGGGCGTCTGTGAGTCAACGAAAACTCAAAATTTAAATAGTTACAGATAACTTTTTTGGCAAAAGATTATTTCTACTTCACGATCACTTCATTCACGTCAAGGGGTGATCGTTTGCTGAAATATGCGAAACACCCATTTTTGACTTGAAAACCATCGCGGAGGATGATTGAGAGAAAAAAGAAGCGAAGAGTAAACGGGAAAAGTAAACACATAAGTGTAAACATGAAACTTTTCGTTCCTTAGTTCGGATAGCAGTGATGAATCATTAAAGACCTGACTAAATGCATGAATTTGTGACGCTTCTTGGTGCTTCAATTCCATGTAATGAGTATTAACGAACGTATTGATTGTAGCCGAGATGCTTTGTAAATCTAACACAATTTCTAAATTCCTTTGTGAATCACGGAGTGTAGTGTCATAGTAGGCGGAGATGCCCTCCAATACACAAGTGGTCTTATGTTCGACCCCAAGCCTCGTGCTCACTAAGCCTTCCGTCCCTCAAGGGTCAACCAGCTAGGTCCAGACTTGTCTGCGAAGATAGTAGCATTGACTCGATACATCAGCAGGCCATCAAAGGTCAATGTAGGGGCCAGATATGCATTCAATCACCTCTAACGATGCTTAATGAAGTCGAATGCGTGGCGTATCACTGAAGGATTAATCATCACCGAACGCTTTATCCTTTATCCTTATGTGAATCAAAGAATCAGAAGAATGTTTCCATTATTGCTAAGTCAATTTGAAGTCCTATATTAATACACTCCCAAATTACATATAAACCGAAAAAAGAAGCACCTTACTTTCGCTCTATCGACCCAGGTGGAAACCACGTATACCCGAATGGCTACCGCACGTGCAAAAACTCGTGTGTGCTTCATTATAATTTCCATTCAGTAGCTAAGTTGTTATTTTAGCCAGCTTTTCTCTCCATGGAGGTTAACATATCCACATTAGTGCTCTGTTAAGCCGTCACCACACTCACTTGCTTATCGTAGCCGACCGGAAGGAGACTTCCCACTTTTCGACTACGTTATTATCACCGCCTTATTGTTTTTCTCCATAAGAGAGCATGCTGTGCTGTCAAGAAACCTCCGCTGTGAATCGCAGTTCAACATCCGGGAATGCAACCCATGTAAACTCGCAGGTGATAAATCGTTGAGAGAAACCCGACTATTTCTTGTAAATTGATAAGTAAAACTGAAAGAAAAAAGACGTCTTGCGATAAGGTAAACGTTCTGGAGCTGTCGCCTATCTACGGATAATAAGTTGGCATACCCTACTCATAAATTATAGAGAAACGACAAGTATTGGGAATTGTTGATTAGCCTGACATTGTAGAAATATAGCATCAGTGGAACTGAGTAATCCCGGGATCCATACAGAAACCCTTGGTGCAAAGAGACAAATATTTAAAACACTGTTTTAAGTAATTTGTCCTTACACAGTACAATACCGTTTCACCAATACAGTTCTTAGATGTTAAGACTAATGTTTGAATTCCTCTTTAGAATTCTCCTCATTTTCCGTATTCGTATAATGATTAGAGGTGTCCCAGGTCGGTGATTCGATCTTTCTTCCCTGGATAACCGATCCACTATGCGGTTGATAAACTGGTATCAGACTTGTCAGAAAGAAGAAAAACACTGATTTAATACATCAGTAGGCTTTCAAAATAGGTCGAGGGTGGGTTAGAACAGTAGTTAGTGATACAATCCATCAGGATACCATCAAGGTACACTGGTTTTGACCACCTCCCTGACGCTCATCGCTCGCAACGCCCTAGCTTGTTTTCTCCAAAACTGCAAAGAGAATCGACTCAGCCTGCATTCTACGACATCCATAAAGAAAACAAAATCCTCAAGCAGTAACCAAGACAACACTCATGATGTTCGAAGATCTTTGTGGACGATGATATGAAGAAAGTGGACCGAATGAAAGAAATGCGGGGTACCACAGCAGATGTGATGATGGGCCATGAAAAATAAAATAAAAAGATAAAAATTAAAGTTAGGTTGTGCGTATCTTGAGCACATCTCACAAATGTTAGAGACAATATTTCTACTTACTTGCTCGGCAAATTGTGAGACTTCGTCGAGGTAATTGTCAACATTAGCTAGAGTCTTCTTCTGCTGTTCATTTGCCATTGATTCCAACACCTAAACTGTTGCGATTTTCCTCGATATTTCAGGGAAAATTACCAATAAGTTTGGTATCCTAGAGGCATACGGTCTAATATTTAACAGTCGGATTCGTTGATGTCAACAGTGTCACCCACCTTCATCTTCTCTTTGATTCCCATCAGCAGCTCTTTAACTTTCCCGATGTTTTTCTCAAGTTCCTAAAAAGTGTTCTATGATTCTGTGTATAATCTGAGAGAACTTACCAATAATAGGTACTGTGGACATAGAAAAAATTTTTACCGTATTTTACTTTCCTCTAATTAACGATGAACTCAGAGTCTAACGTTGTTCTCGATCGGTCGGTCGGTCGATCAGTCGCATGAATCGATGTGGTAGATGAAGAGCAGTAAAGTTCCCTCTGCCTCACAACGGAGCTTGACTATGATAAGGAAATGCTTTAGGAGGACTAACTCGAGCTTCCAGAGAAAGCCAGACTCAACTGCTGCCTAGCATCTGAACAAGGATAGCAGGCAACAGATCGTCGAGCCGCTGTGGAATCCAGCCAAGACCCCGATCACCCACATCTATGGGTGAGAGTTGCAAGAGTGGACAAGAAATCGAGTAGAAAAAAACTGCTCACATCCACAATAAATGTTAGAAGGAATCATGTAGGTATTCAAATATTTCTCTTATCGAGGAATACTCAGAAATAACAGTACATACGGTAGCCCCTAACGAATTATCCCCTTACTGCGCTTATGTGGTCTCCCAAGATGCTCAACTCTCATACACAATAAAGAGGAGGCAATTTCATACCATAGTATGACCCTCCAGTTCAGATATTTCCATTCAAACCTGCAGCTAACAATAAATCTATGGCATGGTAGAGCTTGTCGACAAACTATCTCTGACTACATTCTATCCAGAAACATTGAGAAAAAGTAACATTCGACTAAGACAACGATGCTCTTTATTTTCCTCAAAAGTGGAAAGCTGCCGGAACACAGAGCAGTTCTGCATACGGCGATAACAAGTAGAGGTTCTACTGGTAAATCCTACTCAGACCAGTCGATGACTGACTTAATAACGACGTCATACAGGTTAAATACCATGAATTTTCGTCTGTATGGCAATCCGTCTTTCTTTTTCTAACCCAAAATTCACCATATTCTAAAACATGCCACAAATATATGACATCCCAAAGAACCTATGCTTTTTAAACTAAGTAGGAAAAAGAACTTGCCGACTGATTTCCGGCGAATAAATCCTTTATATTGTTGAATTGTCTGGAGAAGAAATCACCTACTTCTGCAGCTTTGCCTGGAAAATTCCGTTCTGATTTCCTCTTATAACAGGAAACAAGGACATTTTCTTACTTGTAGCAACTGTATAGAGCGCTAATATGTCGTGTAGTATTTCTACCCCGCTCCAAACCAAAGAGCTTTTCATCCATTCGTAACCCCACTGACGAAATGGTGCTCTTCTAGAAGACAACGATGCTCAGATCTTATGGTGCTATATGATAGCCTTTTATTTCATTCAGTTTCATTTTATTTCATTATTTCATCCTCAACTGTTTTTTTCGCTTGTGGTCCTAATGATTGCGGAGATTAATAGACTAGTCTTTTTTGTTCATGAAAAGAAGGACATAATGAGATCTAGAAAAGAAAAGACGGAAACATGACTATCGGTCAGTATTTATACCAGTCTAATTAAGTGGAATGACTCTGGATTAGATGCTCTGGTAAAATTTCTCTTCCATCTTCCATTAATCCTTAATGTAGCCCCACATTTCTCACTACATGGGAGGGTTTAAATTCAACTGGACGTTACCCGTTAGATCTGAGCTGATGAACTTCGTTTTCTTCTTCTCTTCAACGATTTTGTTTGATTTGGATATTTAAGGTGCTCAAGGAATATGTTTTAATGACTACATTCTTCTCATATGAACGATTGATTTCTTTTGAAATTTAACTGACACACACGTATAGGCGGAATGCGTAACTCAGATCCTCAGAACTTATCCCGTCTTCGAGACCTTGGAGAACAAATTTCGGCAGCGAAAGTAGAAGGGCCAGTTGCACAGAAAGAAAAACAGATAACAGATGGACGAAAGGAAAGTCAAAGTGGACTCCAAAAGAAAAAGAAAGGGACTTCTTCGACGACCACCCAACGATGGGCGGACGTGTTCGTAGCTAACGTCAACCACCTGTGTTCGAAGACGGACAGGATTTGAGGACTTCTTGGCGGTGTGATGGTGTTTTAGAATCACACCATCACACCGCCAAGAAGCGTGAATGCGCGAGAAGAAACGAATGGAAATTATGCTGAGGTCCGCACTACTCTGCACTACCAGTGAAGGCGAACCACCCAGGTATCCAAGCGCATTCTTCTTGAGAACGGATCCACTTCTTCGTTACTGCTGATTTAAACGGACGAATATTTTTTGATGTTAAAAGTAATATGCGGTAAACAGTTTCTTCTCGAATTAATCACTTCATATCGTCATAATTATCTCCGTTGCTTTTACAATCAAATCCTGACTAGATTTTTCCGATCGAAAGCAAATCGATAATTCTCAATATGATTAGGCTAGTTAGTGTAAAAGATTTATTCGGCTAACGTAACGGTGCCTCCGCCTTCCCCAGAACCGCGTCGATCTGAGTTGATGCTCCACAGCTGGTCGTCATCGCGATGTGGGTGTTCGTTGTTGCATCGAGTTGAATCCATTGAAGGGAGTATCGACCGAATAAGAGAACTTCACTCAGCAGTGCGTTTCACACTGGCCGGTGTTGATCGTTGAGTGCGAGACAAAAGCATACCGCTGGAAATAGAAATTGTCCCTGCGGGTCGTCCTCAATGTGGTAACCTTTTCCACTCCAACTTCGATTGGTTTCCTATTCATTTCAACCCTGCTACATAGTGTACTTTCTTCCCTCATATTACTCACTCATGGCTACGCGTAGCATAGCGGGAGGAACTCCCTCGTAATACACACGTGGTTATCGATTCGATTCGACGCCCCTGACCAACCGAGCTGCGCATGCCTACTGGGCAGACAACATAGCGTCAGACATATCTAGGTGTATAAAAACATCGACGTGGTCACTCAGGATGCCTCTGAAAATCATTGTACAGGCCAGATATACCCACCACATCGATGCTTGCTGAAGTCAGAGGCGAAGCGCATCCTCCATATTGATCGAAGCGAATGCATTATCCTTCATCTGTCAGTTCCTTCAAGGAAAATGAACCATTTTTTCTACAACTGAATTTGGCAGCTGGTCCAAATAGAGTGTACTTTCGATTAACTTTTCTGTCATCGACAAGGGGGGCCTGGGATTACAACATTAGAGACGCTTATGACAGCCTCTTTCCAGTCGATAGAATGCATAATGCACGTCGGGGAACAATAATTATATTAACTGATTCCAGTAATGTCTAATCGAAAACAACATCACTATCTGTATAACGTCTAAACTTGTTTTTACCCACTGCCTATTGAGATATGAGCAAAACTCGGTGCCTCGAACGGCTTCGAACCTGCGATTACCTTTAACGAAGCCTCAGTTGCTATCCATCACACCGCTCGAGGCCCTCGCTTTGCCTCTCACTCAGCTACGTTTTCACTCTATTGGTACCATAAGTAATAACTATTTCTATAGAAGAACATGGTCGTCTTAGGTATGAGCCCTCTCTTCAAACCGATGTCGAACTCACTACATCCTACTTTGCCCTATATTTCCAATGATTTCTATGCTCACATTTTTAAAAAATGTCGCGAGCTAGCTATGAGATTTTCGCTGTAGTGTAATGTTTTGGTTAAGTCATGAACAGCCATTGAAGGAAATGCACCTGTGTCAATCGCCTAGCCTATAATGCCGTTAATCCCAGAGCTACGCACTAATGAAGGCGGCAATAAAGCTCAAAGCTCATGTGTTCACACAAAGCACACGAAAAACACCACACTTCGTATGCGAGCAAAGGAAAAAGCGTCCGGCATTGATCAGTTACCTAGAGGTGCACACACTTTCGTCTCAATTCGTAGGACTCTGGAAATAATAGAACACATATTTAGCCTATACGGTGGCTTGTGGTAGTCCATTGATTTACGAAAACACCTTTTCTATTCTAGTAGACAAGACTTTTAGTACGCTGTCGACCTCGGAAGATAGATGGGTCTTGGTTAGCATTGGCGAGGGATGGAAACAATGACAACGTGTGCAGTGCAAAGCACCACTAACCATTGGGCAATAAACACTTTAATATAGTTCTCCAGTTTACTATTCTGCTGAAGGGTATCCAAGAATAGCTCTCTGAGCCTTGTATAAGTCAAATCCGTACAGCAGAGATAGTTGTCCTTTACCTTATACCCTCCATGTTGTGGATTCGAGCACCCTTACATCCCTCACATGAAAGAGATCGTTGAGAAATTTAAGAATGACGTTACTAACTAGAATATAAACTTTTCCGACCACTTGAATTGAAGAGTACTAAGCAGAACATGTTGCCTAGGGTAGACATCAAAGCTACGAAACCTTCGTTGATTGGACTGATTGGACCTTGCAATAGCATTCAGACAGACATTCTGTGTACTCCTGATGAGTGACAGGAAGATTTTGAACGGTTCCACATCTTACTCTCTTACACCCTATAAAAAACAACAAGTTCAGATATCCTTTATAACCATCCTCATTTCTTATTTCACATCTTATCAGACTTCATTTGAATTGTGTTGGAAAAGCGAGGGACCTGCTAAAGCCTGAGAATCTTTCATAGAGGCCGAGTCCTGGTTTTTCCATAAGAGTGCAGATGAATACCCTAGCCGCCAAATAGTAATTAAGAATATTCCGTTAATTTCTGATGAACGATTCAAATATTATTCCCATTTTTCATGATTGATTCAGAGATTCCGTGTATTCCTGATGAGTGACAGGAAGATTTTGAACGCCCTGGTAAAGGTTCTTCGGATTCCAGGGAAGAAAAATATTTCCTTGATTTAGCAGCGTTGGTGTCGGTTAAATGGAAAATGCGATCGGGACGACACGATTCTTTGTAGAAATGGATTATCCAGGCATTCAAATGTTCAGATAACCCAGAAAATTTGGACATTAGTAGATTACGGTAATCGATGATGCTTTCCATTCACAGGGGGTAAGGAATAATGAGGATGAATGAGAGGAAAAGAAAGATCCGTAAACTAAAGTCTTCACCAGTCTAAAAAAAAGTCGCGAAAGTAAGATCTGCATAGGATTCTTCGTCTAGCGCACGTATATCAGAGATATCAAATCAAAATTACTAGCAATAGCTATCGGAAATTATGAGTGAGGAGCTTCAACAGTAAACACTCGCCCACGGAAGTTGTGTATTCGAGTGCTGCGAAAAAGACGTAATGAAAAATAGACGGAGGCATATGCCTGCATTCAAAAACCCAAAAAGATCAGAAAAGTGACAACAAATGAAACCTACCACTGATGTCGTCCAGAACCCCGGCATAAGTCGTAGCGGCTAGCAGGAGGAGGGTCAGGGTAACAGCACGTAACATCGCAGGAACTGAAATGCTGTGATGGGCGTGGTGGCGGTGGAGCCTATGGTAGGAATACGCCCAAGAGGAGGAGCCGTTTGGGGAAGTGTCAGACAATCGAAAATACTCGGCCACGTCGCGATCCTAGCCATGACAACAGTATTTTTTTACTTGGCTCCCAGGCAACTCTGATACCATTTCGTAGGTCACGGATGGATGGTGGGTTCGGTCTGCCCAGAACACAATATTGAATCCGACCTCTTTACATTACAGTGCAACACTAACTCCCAGTTCTTACGCAGGCGCTATATTAAGCTTTCTGTCGAAAACACTGATTAATGCCTGACACAATCCCAACAGGTCTTCCTAGTAATGGTTGGGAGGTTTATTACGTCCATGCTGCAATATATTCTCGCTTCCGGTAATTTAACGCTTGAGAAGATAGATGGCAGTAAATGCGATAATCTAAACGGTCATAATGTACACAGGACCCTATTTTAAATCCAGATCATGTAAATGATCAAGAGATGAATACTTGTATGTACTCAAGTATGTACTCAATAGCCCGTGTAGCGCAGTGGTTTAAGTTGTCTTGCGATGCACAATCGTTGGTTCGATCCACGTCCTGGCCTCAGCAAGTCTT